GAAACCCCTAAAAGCTCAGAGTTACTGACATTTTAATCCTCACACCTGGTTTTCTGATCATTTGGCTGCTATTGGGAGAGAAGCAATCATTTCATAATTACGAAATACGAATGGTGTTGGTAATAGTATTATTATTCGATAGAAACGTCGGAAGCTAGGCCTAGGTCTAGTAGTAGTACAGCATTTGATTGCTTCAAATTTTTATTGTGATGGTGAGTTCAACAGTCCATCTATGACAGGGGTTCTCAACTAGGCCTAGGCTAGGCCTATATCGCAGTAGGTGCACAAATGATTAATTGAATGAAATTGACGCGTGTGAATGCTTTATATCTCGGTAGGAATAACTTGGGAGATGGCGGTTACAATTTGTTACTTTTTGTTGAATTTAACTTCACGACAATTGATATTGAATGGATATTGGTTATGTCTTTCTTGCCAGAATGCAGTCTTTAACATTATTTCTATTTGAGAATAGGTTCTTAGTACTGTCAAAAATATAGAATTTAATAAATCTATACTTATATGAAAATATTTGCAACACTTTGTGAAATGTATGAAAATGTTACACATAACAAATATCACCAAGCTTAGCCAGCAGTTTTTTAATTTACAATAAAGAAGATAAAGCTTAACAGACTTAGCTGGATTTGTTGAGATAGAGATACATGAATAACAATATAATATACTGTAACCAGGGAGATGTAAAAAATACATTTACATTTCCCTGCTGTAACTGAGAATTCCATTGCTTGTATGCAACATGATCATCCATACAGAGTGGCAGCCTATTCCAATTTTAAGTCTGTGAGTGCCATTTCCAGCCATCTGGAGGTGCCATAATCATAAATTTTCTTACCTCATCCTCAACCATGTTGGGGGCTAAGCTGGGGACACCTTATCTGTGAAAGTCCCTCCCTGGGCCCTATTCCAAATTCCTACTAGATCCACCACATGATTTAAAATCGCATCAAAACCCCACAATGGAATTTGCGAACATTACCGAAAAAGGGCCCCCAGTCCCAGAAAGCCACAGGTCCCCCATCCCTAATGTTATGCTACTGCTTCCATAGTTATTATGTTGGTACGAGATTCTGAGAATGATAAATGTTGGCCTTAAGTTAGTAATTCATATAGTAATTTTGTACCATAAAATTTGGATGTAATTGACCATTGTTAGAAAATTATCAAGAAAATTCTGATTAGGCCCCTGGGGATCAGTACAGCATTGAAGTTCCCACCGTATGTAGAAAAACGGACTGTAATCTATTACCCATATTCTTTTTTGTAGAATAATGTACTGAGATGAATATCCTCTTTTTTGCTACTTTCAATAGGTGTACGACGTAAACTAAGGACTTCTCGTGATGAAAACATGTTTATTTCTTTTTTCACGCGTTATCACTATATATTGGAGAACTGTAGATCTTGTGTTGCTGTTTTTATGCTCAAAGATTTGTACTTTCTTTATCTAGTCAACATTTTTAACGTGATGTAAGATTTTTGGCTACTGTACTACTGGGAGGCATTGTCTCCAGTCACTACATAATTGTAGATATACCCTTTTGACTTATTCAGCTGATTTGCTGTCACTTTTGAGCAAAGTGATGTTTTGGTGAGATTGAGAGCATACTGTACATGGTTCTTACACCAAAAGGCAAAGTACTGTAGCAGCAATTCCACTTGTGGCAAAAATAAGACAAATTTTACCCCGCTTCTAACAAACAAAAGTGTTCTAAATTTCACGTTCAGCCTGAAGCATCAAGTGCAAAGTACTTGAATTTTCGTTATAATTTATTGTCTTTACTGCCAGACACTCTAATTTTTTATCGTGGTTCAACATTGATTGGTTGTGCATTGTTTCTTGCACAAGTTCTTCATGCGAATATTGAAGTTCTTGCTAAATTTGAACCGTTTCTTGTTATATTAATTAAATCATTTAAGAAAGCTGCGTGGTAGATTGAAGTCCTTGACGTTTTCATGCAATTTGCATTTAAACAAATTCAGATGTGTGTTGCTTTTGTTGGTCAATATTTTGTAGATGGTGTTAGTGCAAAATTGTTATTTTACCATATTTTGATCGAGATAAATATCCTTAATGATAAGAGCCTAGAAGGATGAGGCTACAATATATTTCATTCAGATTTGTGCAGGCATCTTGGCGATAAGTCGTAACAAAAATTTGTTCCTTACTCAAATTAGTAATGTGATGATGGTGTGTTAAAGTATATGATAAAATATGTATATCATCAAGTATACAGTGATTGTATGGCGGGCAGTATAATGGTCTATTGGTCTTGATAAATAAATAAAATTGACTTAGTTAGATTTTTAGGCATGGTAACTTTGATATTTATTTATTCGATTTCACACTTTTTATATTAGAAACTGTAAAATTTTGCCCAGGCTCAGTGTTCTTATTTTTTGGCTGATTTCAGGCTGAGAATGTTCTTATTTTTACACATTTTTTCAAAAACGGAAAATTATTATTTCACAGTTAGTATACTATATTATAGAGGTTATTACATAGTCACACCTACAGCAAATAAGGTAGAGATAGATTTGTTGGTTTTACATTTTTTTAAATATAAAATCCTCATTTCACAATAAAATTAAAATGAGATAAAACTGCTGGTGACAGAAATAGGCCAACAGGTGAATAATCAAAGCACCTCTGATATCGGCCTATCTTGAATTGCACAGGTAGAAGAGAAGAAGTCAAGGATATATAAAATTTTAAATGTAAAACCTTGTGACGTGGTCAGGCATTTCATTAAATGAAATGCGCATAGAAGCTCCGGCATTATGCGCTATATAAATATAACATTGTATTAAATAAAATTTCTGACAAGCTTTACTGTATGTTCCAATTTAGACACTGTTATGGTAAAATTGGGTTTGTGTATTAGGGTACATTTTTTAATGGTAAAATGGAACTTACAGTACAGTATGGCATGGCATGAATTTGAATGTTTGCTTACAATTTAAATTAAGGTATGAGGAATATGTTACCATAATCCCATAGGAAAAACAGAATGGGATGAAATTATAATGTTGGAAACAGTTCAATAAATGAAAAGAAAAAGTGAAAAATATGTGCATTTGAGAAATGTTTTAGGTATAAAGCCAGGCAATCGTTGTATCGTACGACGGTCGCGACCGTCGTACAACGAATCCAACTCCGCTTCCTGTGAGCGTTAGAGGACGCAACGTCTGTTGATTGCCAGTGGCAGTCTGAATTGATCATCATTAAAAACAATTTGTTGCGTGCGTATCATTCTATTGCATTTTTAATAGAATCACATTGGCTGACACGTTGGGTGCTGTGTCTGCCCAGCTTTGGGAGTCAATTTAAAAAATGCAATCATGAAGTAGAAGTCAGTAAAAAAAAAAAGAGATAATTTCTCGGATTAATTACAATCTGGTATTCCTAACATCACTGAGTGCAAGTGAAGATATGTGTCTATGATTCAAATAAGGCTGAAATTAGAATACTTTTTTCGCAAATTTGTTGATAAATTATTTTCTATTTGCTTTTCTGTCACTAATGTGTCTATAAATTAACTATCACATGTTGATTTTCTCTCTGAAGAGATTCACAAAATTCTTTCCACTTTAAATGTTAATATGACTGCAGGTCCTAATAGTATTTATTCCTGTATCTTAGTTGAACTTTCTCTATTTTTTCATTACCATATTTGTTCAGCAAGGAGAATTCACTAATAGATGGAAATATGCCACATTAATAGTGGCAATTATTAAAAAGTAAATTATGGGCCTCTGAGTTTGATTTTGACTAGGGCAGATTCTCAGCCAGCTTGGGCCTCTTAAACTTTATTTTAAAAATCTGAGAACAAGACAATCAAATTCATATTTTGAATTCCAGCCAATTTAAATATATTCTATTTCTTACAGTAAGTGTCAATACTAGCAACAGAAAAATGTTATGTCTGATTTACAGAATTTTTTTAGAAAAATATTTTTTCATTTGGATACAAACTCAAGACCTTCTGATTACCTTTCAGATATGGCAAAATGTCATAACTATATGTATACAGCAATTACCAATTAGTCTCCGGGGGTTAAAAAAGTGAGACGCTATCGAGGGTTCTCCGAGGCATCAACAAATATATGACATGCTGGCATCAAAACAAAATAAATGTTGCATCACCGGAGCAATGTACACAAAATTATGTAGCTTGTGCAGATGTAAATAATACATTCCTAATTCATGCATAAATACCATAGTTGAGTGTTGTCGTCACAAGGTTTGATCCTCCTCTCAAGTAGTCCATGTTTTATACACACCATACTTACAAGTAGTCCTTATTTTACACATTACCACACTTAATCGCAAAGTTCAAAGTTTATTCAGTGCCTGACTCGTAAGGAATTTACAATTGAATTCAATAAGAAATACTTGATCTATAATTATTTAGAGAATTAGGTGTTCTTTATGACAGATGCTTTAGTGTTTTAATCAGTGTGTTGTAAAGAGACAATAACAATTGCATTTTCAACATTATTCTGATTATATATTGGACTAAGTTTTGGACACTGTCTAATTGTAAGCTTTCTGTCATCTTACTATAAACTTAAGATTGAACATTTTGTTAGATTCATTATCATTTATTAAATAATAATGATGATAGATTCTGTAGCTATTCCAGTTTATAAGTCAGACTTATCTGTGCCAGATTCATTGCATTCTCATTATAATTTGAGTATTCTTTAACGCAATCATTATTCAGTAGCAGGGTTAATGAGACATCAGTAGAAAATTGTGTACTACAATGTTAATAATAATTACCTAGATGATACTGATGATGAGGATAATGTTAATGACAATAACGATGACGACAGCAGCGATAAGGACAATAAAGAGAACCAGGACGACAGTGTCATCGGTGACCACGATAAATTTTGAACTAGGAGAGAAACATTAGGCGCATTTTTTTCAGTAAGGAAATTAAGGTAAAATAATATCTATTTTCTTTTTTCAGGGCATACAGACAATATTTTGCACAATGTTTGCAGCTCACATGCTACCAATCAGAGTGGTAAATACAGAAAATGCAGATGAATTTTACCTCAAGAATGTTGGCTATCCACACTTAAAGGTTTTTATTATTTTTTTCACTAATTATAGCCAAATCATTAGGCTGTTTTGTTTTTTTTTGGTCTTTGAGGTACATGTGGGTTGTTATCATGACTGGTATATAGTGAAATAAGCTGGGTCATTTCCATACCAACTCAACAATATGCATTACAACATAGGTCATAGATTTTGTTTCTTTTTTTGCACACCGATATATATTTATGAGTAATTAAAAACCAGAAAATTTTGGACTCTAATTCTCATACGTTCTCTCTGTTTGTAGTTGATTGTAGTGTGGCCCAAATATCTCTATCATATTTCAATATTATTCAGTTGTAAAGTAGAAAAATATTTAATTTCCAAACCATACAGTACTATTTTAAATAATCAAATATTTTTTAAAAATTAATTGTGCCTTTTTTTTTTATGCAAGAGTATATATTTATTTTTTGTAATCTTGAGAGTAAACAGTAATGAATTATCTTGTCATTTACTTTACTTTAACGTCATCACAGCAATGCCAGTGAGATAGGACACAGCCCCGGGCACAGCCTTACAGTAGGTCTAGCGTAAAGCTGTATACTGTATCTCTAGGCCTAGAGAAAGTTAGACCTACATTATACCTTATTAAGCAATTGATATAACTATGCCTAGGCCCTAGATGTATTTTCAAAATTTACATTTGAAACCTGAGCCTGATTCTGACAAGTACTGGGCATAATTTGTACAGTGAATTAAGTTTGTTGATGTTTCATTTATTTTATATATGGTTGTACGCATAGCCTAGTCTTGGAGTGATTTGTCGTGAGGAGACTCCCAATCTTACATGGATATTACATTGTTAGAGGCTACAGTAGGCATGAAAACAAATTTCTCGTCTTGTGGTAATATTTCTGGAGAATAGAATTGTAACAATTGCAATTGTGGTCTGTCCTTGTTTTGCGTCTTGCATAAAGTTCAGTAGATATAATACCTTTATGCAGCACCTACCCCCTCTTTCAAAATCCTGGATACACCACTGAATTGTCCAATTGAGATGAGCCATCAGAGCTTGTCATAGGGTCTTGTCTTGTCCGTTGTCCTTGATGAAATTTCACAGTGACTTTGTGTTGTTGGTTACAACCACCAATGACATTGTGAACATACTCTTGTTTTAGCTTCTACCTCTGATTATGACTCTGAGATTGATGCTTGGTAGGGGAAAATGCAGTATTGTTAAGGCATCCAACCGAAATACCGATCAAATTCTGTATCAAAATCCCAATCAAAATAATGACAGACTCCGATAAAAAATCTCAATTGAAATCCCGATAAACTGGAAGCCTATACCAAAAGTTTTGCCCAAGATTTTGACCCAAATTTTCATCTGGATTAATAATGTCGATCAAAGTCTCATTGATTAATGGTTTAGATGTATCCCAACTGGATATGTCTAATTATTCAGCCCTCAAAATTAGGAATAAAGCACGCCGGCAAAAAATCGCCGACGTTAAAAAATTGACGCCGGTCCTACATCGACATTTTCAAAAAGTTGTCAAGTACTAGGCCTAAACCTAGGCTAGTACTAAGTACTAGCCTACGCGCGCCTACGTGGACCATCGGATCCCCAGAGTGCTGTGAAGTTCTAGGTAGACCTAGGCTAGCCGCAGTGATAAAAAATAAGCACTAACCATGGATGTTGAAATATGTTTACATGTTACTTTTGTGAAAATGAATTAAAACTAAAATACTCTGGGCATATTTATCCCTAAAATAAAAGCCACCACAGTCAAAAGAATAGCAAACTTTGGTGACGACGAACACGCTCGACTTGCTGTTCTTTCTAGGAGATGTTGGCGACGCACTGCAGAACGTGTGAGTTGGGGATCGTCTATCACTTTCACTAAAATCAACAGAGAATACAGACAGAACAGCTACATGTGTGTAAGGGATTAACTTAGAAGTTCCGTTTTTTTTAAATTAGTGTAATTTATTTATAAAAAAGTAGCAGTACGTTTCTGTTGAATTGGTGTTTGAAAAGTAAATGATTGCAACTGTATACATACATATATTATTAGTATATATTTACCACACATTAACAAAAATGTTTGACATTTCAAATTATATTTTTAATTAATTTAACAAAGAAATGCATGTAGGATAGTTTTCTAGGCCTAGCCCGCCTAGGCCTAGTCCCTCTGTGTGTGCAATCCTGCTTTTTCTGCACGTCGGCAATTTTCTCGCCGGCGACGGGTGCCTAGACGCCGGCATTTACGCCGGCACTGCTGAATGCCGACGTTAATTTTGAGGGCTGAATTATTTGAATCCGAAAATAGCTTGTGTGGGTATAGCTTGTGAGGGTAGCCAGCTACACAACATTTTTATTTGTAGAGGTGGTTCCTTCACACCATGGTATTCTTTATAGTGTTGATAAGGATAGATGAGAATATTTGTTTTCCTTGTGGTGTTTATCCTTTTTCTGATGCTGCTAGCTGTTTTTACCAATGATTGCCCTTTAATTTGTACATAGTATGAACATGTAAAAACTCTTGTAGTAAACCAATAAATATAAAAATTGTTTGTTTGTGACATATCAATCCGTTATCAACAGATATTCATTAGACAATGACTAGTTTGCTAGTTGTTGACATTTCCAGATGTTGTGGCCGCCCTTTTCCATTAGTTTAAAGACTGATTAGTTGGTTGTCAATATTAGAAATTTTCATGCTCTTTCTTCTTTGTTTATGTTGTTTTCTTGTTTTTCAAATTTGCCATTTTTTTCTGTGGCATTCAGTTTTGCGAGTCTGGCTGAGTCTGGAGATATGGTTGATTTTAATCATATGATGTGATTTGTGCTGTATGTCTAAGGCGGGATCTCCAAATTATCCCAGACAACAAATCAGCGTTCAGACACGTTTTCTTTTGTTCTACCAAAATGCATCTGAAAACACTGTTTGGAATAGCGCATTGTTTGGGCGCTGATATTCCGTTTTGGCCTTTGCTCCTCCCCTTTCACTATGGCCGATTGGATGTACCGTAAAACATGTCCAGACGACTCTCTAATATGAACCATAATACGACTGACTGTGCGGCCCTATACCCAAGTACGGACTTGTTTACCTGCTAGTGAACGTCTTTGTACGCCGCCTATGTGTGCAAGAACTGACAGAAGTACGTAAACTAGGGAAGTCGCTGGTTGCTAAAAAAAAAAGTCGGTTGGGTACTGGGACGTCGACGTTCAGTAAGCCTAGCACCGTGCATAGGTGAGACTATCGCAATATCCAGTGATTTTACGAATCGATGAACAAAATATAACGTTAAAAAATAAGATTTTTTTAAATAGTTATTTCCGATGTAGTCGCAGCTGGAGTCGCTGGCCACCATCAGTTTTAAGAAGCGCGATCACCATCCTTTGCAGCTGTGGTAACATTCAGCACAGCAATTAATTGCTCTCTTTGCCGTTGAAAGGGATCACGTGCTAAAGACCCATGCTCCAAAAGGATTGTCCATGATCAAAGTAGATGAAATTTTGATTATACTAAGCTAAATTATATTTACATTTTATAAAACAAGGTTTATTAATTAAATTTACGTGAATTTCATGTGAAACACGTCTTTTTATGCCGAATTCACCACGAATTTCGACATACAAACATGTAAGGCTAAACCATTGCCAACCCAGTAAAGGTTTTACTGACAACTCGCGATATTACTGTAATTTATTTATTTTAATATTCGACTGAACATACACTTCTCTTGCAGTGGCACACATAAATTTGGTGTGTTTAATGTATAAAAGAGAAAAAGAAAAAGAAATAAAAATAAGTAATTGTAACAAAAAAAATGTTATACCCTGTTTGGAAATGGACAGTTCTAAATTGCCCAGTACTCTTCTAGTTTACACACATGGTTCTTGGCCCTGCTCCCTGCATCCAAGGCTCGACCTTGAGATCGCTGCAGTTTTATTTGAAAGAGCAGTTTAATAATAAATCAAAACTAAAACTCGTGATTTGTTGTTAATATGACAACTTATTGTCTTTATCTAAATTTTACTAGTCAACCAAATATACATCTCTCGATTTTGAGGACCTACAGTAGAACTTACAGTAAAGAAAATGCACTGCTGCATAGTATACATAGTACGGGACACAGTAGAGTAGCCTCAGAAAATTGTGAGTAACCAGCCGTGCGGGAGGATAAAAAAAGATAGGCAGACTACCTACCAAGGTCTAGAATTGATTTTATATTTAGGCCAGAATGTAACGCTGACTTACCATGGCACTTAAAGTATATTTGAAGTATGTTTGTGATTTGTAATGCCAATGTACCCTCCTTCACTTTTGCAAAGAAAACGTTGGTGCTATTTTTAGAGTTGCGACGTAGTTCTATCTACAGAGCGGCGTACAAAACAAATTCCAAGGGAACTCGCTTTTAGCGCATACCGCGCCCTGGACCTCCAGGAATGTTGTCATCATGTAATTTACAAATCTTCATAATAAGCATAGAGAAAGTATAGCCACATGTACGTATAAGAAAAAAATAGAAAAACGATCAACGAGCATCGAAACTATTCACCGTTGTCCAGATGCGAGCCGTAATTCAAGCGTGTGTTAAATGAGTATTCATATAGCGTGGTAATTAGAATGGTTGATTTCTCAGAAGCGTTCGTGATAGGGTGTTGACCTAGACGCGTTTTTGCCGTCTGGGATAATTTGGAGATTGCGCCTAAGTTGGATATGTGGGTCATTCCGTGCCAACTCAAAGATGTGTATAAGAGACAGGTAGTAAACCAATAAATATAAAAACTAAAAAGGGGTATGACCCTAAAATTTCAAATGGCCGTAACTTCTAAACGACTTGGAATTGGCAAGTCAAATTTTGGGTTTGTTCGTCAGACATGTTGGTGCACATTATATCCGAGTTTCAAGAAAATCTGAGACGGTACCCAGCCATGATTTTCTGAAAATTTGTTGAGTTGGCACGGAATGACCCATGTATGTTATCTCATACTGTGCTTGGCAATGTCATTTATATGTTATTTACTTATTTTTGAAATTTAAAATATGAAAATGAGATTCGAAATCAATTACTAATTAATATTTTTACATTTATTGAAGAATTGTTTTAACAATGTTAAAACATTGAAGTGAAGTAGACATTGCTAGGGTATATTATGGTTTCATATACTGTACACATTGTTATTTATACTTCTGAATATATTTATCAATTAAAATGTTATCATATTAAATCATTAACGCATTCATGTTTTTACACACCATTTCTGAAGGTACCTGCGGGAGGTGCAGAACGTTTAAAGACTCTAGCACTGCTTACTGCTTGTGATGACATCACCGTAGAAGGCATTGATCAGAAAGAGAGTGCAGCAGACATCTTGTTTGCCTCTGCAGGTTAGTACCACAAATCTCATTTATATTGTTGCATCTTGAGAATGCTACTACTCACATGTCCTTGTTTGGCATCTTAAAGAGCTGTGGTTTCCTTCAATAAGAAATAAGAAATGAGGATGATGACAACAATGATGACGGCATTTACATTCAGATCTACTGCAAAGAAATATTGTGTTATAGCCCTTTAATGTGATGGTCATAGGCCCAAGGTTGGCCTACTGTAAGCTAGCTGGGACCTAGGACTGCTGAGGGTCCGGTTAAGGTTTGAAGTTTGAAACATACTACGTTTTAGCTCTTCACTAGCCATATTTGATTGGTTTACAACATTTTTCTAGGTACTGATTCACGTTTTCTGATAAGTCATTTAAATGCTTCTTAAAATCCTTATGCATTATTATTTGAAAAAAAAATGTTTCATTTACTTTAATAAATTAAACAATTGAAATTAACAATAATTAATAAATATTACTATTAAAACCTTTGTTTGGTTTAAAAAAAAATTAAAACATTAAGTAGATCTTTTTTTTAATATAGAAATTTCAGGTGTATTTTTCAATGGGCCTCTAATAGCCCGGGCCCCAGCGCTTTGTACTGGTTGCTCTGTTCACACCTTTACATGTATTCATAAATCGGTTTGGTTTGATGTAAATGTATTATTTCTTCTGTGTACGGTGATGCAAGCATGCATTGCCTGTAACATACACATGCTTCATTACTGAACATTTGTTCCACATGAATTTTCCTTCATTTTGATCAATCATTATGTTATAGTTGTTTTGGAATTTAACGTAACATAATGTTTACGTTTATTACTGCTTGTTGGATGTATCTCTAATTCATGCAGAAGCAGTATGTTCAGTATATACAGTGTTACATTTAGAATGATCAGATTTTACACAGCACTTTTGAAATCCTCATTATTCAAGGTGTAATTAAGTAAATTGAAATGTTTTATTGACAAGAAGTAACAGTTTACTTCAGCTAACCTATACTTAGCTTCCTTCAACATCAGTCCATCTTACAAATGTTGCCATAGTAACAAAAGGAGTGCACTTTATATGTTATATTGTGACAATCCCTGTGAGGTCTGGTTTACAGTGTAATTGACATGTGATATATGCCCGTGTCTCGATCAATTGAGTTGAAACTAATAAATATTACTTGTCATTTAACAATCTGCATTTCTATTTATTGTTAAATATGATCATTCACTGCGATAAACTATAATATATATCTGAGTTTATCTTTAGAGTGTTGTGAGATTAGGTATATTTATAGTGGTATATACTGTGATACCGCTATGTATTTAGTTGAGACGTGGGAGTTTGTCTGTGTAGTGGTATATTTAATATAACAAGCAATTCATTTCAAGAAGTATAAACAATTTTAACATCAGCAGGCAATTCAGTTAACAATTTGATAACATAAAATTTCACATAAATTGCTTATCCACTAATTGATTCTTTTGGTGGACTGCTTTTTAACACTGCTAATGCATAAAGCATGCATGAAATACATACAGGCCCTACTGTAAGGTAAGGGAAAAGATAATATAACGTTTATTTTTTATATTCACATGCATGTTCGTATACTATGAATCAAAATCACAAGCCTGGTTTGTGTATATTAGTTTCTTTGGAAGTTCCTATTTATAGAATTTTTCAGAATAAGCCTTCATATTTTTAAATTCTGCAAATCTCAGAAACCAATAAAAAATGTTTTTTTACATTTATTTAGTCAACTTCACACAGTAGCAAAACAGACATACCAACAATAAAATATATACAAAAAGCCAAATTTACTGATGACCTTTCTGATAGTGGTCAGTCCTAAATTGTACAAGTTACAGGAGGAAAGAAATTAAGAATATTGAAGTTTTCAATAAAAATTTGTAAATTGAACTTTGTAACCATAGCAAACTATGAAATATTGAATTGCCATGAACAGTACTCAGATTGCATGAAATTCCAGGTTTCAGGGCATTTAGGATCTTGTCCCAGCCAAGATGTAAAAATACATCCTTCCACATTCAATCCCCTCTTCATACCGCTGTATATACTGTACTGTATGTATGTGCATGCATATATTTGACCTCCATTGTCTTACATCAAAGTGATTTTTATAGTTGTATTAGAGACTATTTGATTTATGTGGAGAATTTTAGTAAAACAAATAGTTGTCATCAAAACCTTACAGATATAAAGTTGATGGTTGCCATCATATGAAGTTTCTAATATAAAATTATATCTGAACTCAATCTTGTATATACTCTATTATATTCTAGTAATGGTTTCAATTTCAGGTTGGTCAGCTATTACACCAAATAAGGGTTTGAAGGCTGTGCTTAGACCCCATACTATAGGAGGGGTAGGGTGTGTTGTTCGCACCCCAGCAATGCTACCGTACATTGTAAACCTGAGAGGTTCTAGACTAGGAAGGAATCAACCATTCTATCGGGTGAACGTGGAGAAACTCGTACAGTACCAGTGAATAAACTTCACAGGTAAGATGCTGGAATATCAAGTAATAGGGTGTGCACTTCAAGTGTATCAGCACAATTCAAAAATACTGATCCAATGTTGTTTATAACCAATATAGTTCTGTAATGTTTAACTATTCAAAAAGCAGATAGTTATGGCAGTGCAATGGGAAATATATGGAAAATATTGCAATTTTTCGTTGCAACTGCGTAGTGTAGGTGTTATTTTTTATAGTAGAAATACAAAGTCCGGTCTGTATATATGGTAATTAAAGTGTTAATTACACAGTAATTGACAGGAGATAGGCATGCTGTGGTTATCCATATGCATTTAATTTGTATAATCTCTAGGGATTAACTTGTTAATTAGTAAACTAATGAGGTTGTCTAAGATTTGTTTAAAGTCTTTCTTATAACTCATGTAGAGTATGTAAGTATAGTCTTGGTGTCAAATGCCAAGCAACTCCCATATTGTTTTTTTTGTTGAATTCTTTGAAAATACATATGCAAAACACCCTGTAAGCAAAAAAGTTGCCACCTGATGAAATTTAGATTAATCATACAAGTATCAATGGAATTCATGTCTATAAATTAGATTTCATTTCTGCTACTGCTTTCCTTAATTCAAGCCTCCCTACTGTAGATGATGAGACTAGAGCTTTTCATATTGGTTCAAATGATGGTTATGTTCGTGTAATAAAACAAATGAATTTACAAGGCTCAGTGGAAAATGAAAGGTTACTGAAGGTTCCTAACAATTTGCAGCAAAAAGATACACTAAATCTTTTTCAGCTTTCTTATGACCACAATTTTTTGTGATTTAAAAAAGTGCAAGGTAATCTTAAGTCACATGCCCCAAAGGTAGTCTTGCCTGCAAGGAGTCTTAATTTAAGCCTAAAATATGTCAATATTATTTTGATGTTTGATTCAATAAAACTGTTGACAATGGTATTTTGCAAACACAATGTTAGGCTCCTGCATTTGAAACTAATACACTTTTGCTTTAATATAAACTGACTAAGCCACTGATTAGGCCAAAATATAATACCTGTGTTGCCCATGCGTGGTCACATTTGGAAATTGATCTAGACTAGTTGGTTAGTCTAGACCCCTTTTGGTGTTTACATTGGCCTGACAGAAACTCTGGTGGCACACTCCACTGGTAGGAAAAGGATTCATCAAGTGTGGGACAAATGCACAGGAAATCAGGATACTGGTTTTCTTTTTTCTTTTTTTTTTTGGTTGTGCTGAAAATATGAAAGCTACATGGACAAAATTCACATATGAATTTTAAAAATTAATTTTTTTCTATTTTTATTAAATTATTAAAATCATTTTCGTCTTTCTCTTCGGATGTGTGTGCGCAAGGCCAAGAAAGTGAAAGTGAGTGGTGACACAACTATGAATTTTCTGTTTACCACTCGTTGACGCTATGCTAACTTTGACGAACGTTTTATGTTTTTTTAATGAATGGAATAATTACTAGGCAAATAATCATTACAGCAACTTTTGGTAAACATTGTAGTTGCTTAAAAGTATTATTGTGACAGTCGAATGGATTGATATATCCTGAAAAATGTGGTTTTTCTTTTGTCTAACTTTTAGGCCGACTTGCTGTACTATTCTGTCAATGTTCACCACCCAATCTACAAACCTTGCTAGCGTTGCGTAATGAAGTTTTCACTTGCCTGGCCTGGTGCTCACACTGAATGTACTGTACATAACTGGGAGATATGTACAAGTATTTTGGCCTTTTATCTTAAAATATATTGCCAAAAAAAAGCTGGTCCTTGGGCAACTCACAGTTTTTTGGGGTTCTTTTTACCTTTACTCTAAGTGTATGAGTAGATAGATTTGTTTTTACAACTATAATTTTTTTCATCTTCACATAGTGTTATTGCATTAAATTTGCATTCTTTGATTTTGATGTGTAAATAGAATCTGTCTTAGCCTAGATCAGGTCACAAAAAACTTTCCCTCATGCCTGCTTCCAATTAACATAATTTTATATCCTGCAAATAACAAGGTAAGCTTGAATTAAAAATTATTATGTACTTATCTTTAAAAAATGTTGTGATGATTTCAAGTTTGAGTTGCAGATCCCACAGCTAAAACATCTTTATCATGTCTAGATCATTACAAAAACAAGTGTGGAGCATCCGAAATACATGTATAATGTTTCTGTCTACTTGTTTTGTCAATTCTTTATACAACTACTATGTGGTCATAAATTAATGGTTATGCTAGGATTTATTGTTAGATTCTGCATTTGTGATCTGAGCAGGTAATTTGAACTAAACTTAGTGCTACAGTAGCTTTGACAAAATTTGCTGATTACATCACTCAGCACCAGATTGTAAATTAGAATTTGTCGCCATTTAAGACATTGTGAAAAGGACAATAACAAATTGTTTTCACAATTTAAGCACCACTACAAAGACCTCAAAATGATATGTGTTGTATATTATTATTATATAAATACAGCAAAGCCTGTTTATTAAGATGTGCTGTTTGTCATGAGCTAAACAGCAGTGAAAATTAAGTGCCATTTGTGTTAACTAAATTTTGAATGAGAAAATTTTAATTTTTTTCTATTTTTGATTTTTAATTGAAAATTGTAATTGTGAAAGTATATAAATAAATTGTAATTGAAAGATTGATTACAACACATCAGAATATCTTGAATCATTAAATTGATTATTTTTTTACTTTGTAAATAACATCAAAATGTGCCACATTACATAATATCACATTTGCCTTGATTAGAATATTATCTTAATATTTAAAATTGGCAAAAATAGCTTATTGAATCCATGAATAAAAAAAAAAGAAATTTTCCCAAAATGTCTGTGTACAGTATATTATCATAAATTTGTGTGATTTACTAAAAGGCAGTGGCTATTTATTGCTTCAGTCTTTAAGATCTTTAAGTTCCATGAAAAATACCTCAAGAAAAAATTATCTTAAAAATCATTTTTGAAATTAACCTGCTCATTTCGAAGTACTGTACTGTAACATACAAATTATTAACTTTATGTTAGAAATTAGTGTATTAAAAAAGTTGCTTACCCATAATTTTCAGTGAAAAATGATAGATACTGTACGTCTTTGGCTATGACATGGGTTATACTTTCAGTCATTGGAATGTTTTTATTATTTTTATCATTATCCAGTATAAAAATACACATACACCTTTTTCAAATTCTATAGTTTCTATCAATGCTCAAGTTAATAATTTGTATGTTACTGCAAATTCAGCAAGTTAATTTCAAAGGATTTTACAGAGGACACTACACCAATTCCTATTTCTGATTGGATGTTGTATCCATAGATTGGATTAGGGCAAATCATCTAATCAGAATTAGTAATAAGAGCCGCTGCTTTACAAATAATTGATTTGATTTTTATTTGAACTTTAATTTTCTTATTGTTTTAGATTTATCTAACCAGATAAATGTATTCTACATAATTCTAACCTCGGTATTCTTAAAATGAACTTTAGTTTTAGTTTGAGCTAAAACTTTAAAAATGTTATTTCATATTCTTAAATCAACTTCGACTAGGACTATGACTAAAATTGATATCTCCACATTCCAATTTTTAAAGTCAACCCAGGATGGGACTAAAGTGCAGACTAGAAAAACAAGCTTTTTGTAAGTCGCGATAGAATGAGAAGGATAAAAACGATGTACAAGTAGGTCTGAAGTATCTTCGGTGTGTTCAATAAAAGAATCAAGCTTAGGTTTAATTAATATGAATTGTGAGGAAATATGTTTTTAAACGACAGACGGCAACTTAATATTCATCCACGTTACTGGATCTCTAAAATTTTGTCTGCTATTTAAGTGAGGTCTTGTCATTGGTTAGTTTGAAAGCCATTGCTTGCCAGCTGTCTTCAGCTACACAGCAACTAGGACTTGATTTACTTCAGCTACGTTGTTTATGAATATAAATTGAAGTTGAAGTTACAACTAGGACTATTTGAAGTTCTAGTTCGAAGTTCGTCTATAGTTCATTTTAAGAATACGATCGTGATCATGTCCAAACTTCTGTAGAGTTTGTTGTAAGCCTTGCAGGCTCACTGAAGCCTAGATGTGGCAATCATCACTGAGCAAGCTTTGTAGATGTTTAGCAGATTTTCCTAGGAATTGCAATACATGCAGTACTGTATACAACTAAGTTTGTATTTATTGTAGCATAGAACATTTAAACCTTCAGTGGCTAATGTTTAGATAGGTCAGAGCTAGACTGTTTGAAGCAATCAAATAATAAATTTGAAACATGGATCTCATGATATAGTTACGTATAGAGATTTTGGGGAATACACAAAAACAGCCTGTATCTCTCATTTGAGAAGCAACTCAGAGCTCTAATTTGTATAGAGAGAGCCACTTAGTTCAGTCGGCTTATCTGGTGGTAGCCACTGTGCGTGTGTGCTGAACCGTGGAGATCTCTAGGTCCCCGGTTCAATTCCCATTGCTGCCTCTCCTTATGTTTCAGCCAACGGGCTGAAATACAAGTTACAATAGCGCACTGTCTTTCGGATGAGACAGTTAAGCCGTAGGTCCCATGTGCATTTATGGCCCATGTGCATGTTAAAGAATGCAGTACACTTTTCGGAAAAGAGTAGGAGATTGTCTCCCGGTGTACTGCCCATTCACCACCAGAAGCACCCCACTAGAAATAAGTCTTGTTCCAGACTTTCGTGGGCTATCCTTTTGTTTACACAGAATAAATCCAATCCAATCAAGTATGGGGATTGTTTAATACTAAACTATCCTAGTAAAATTACGCAGCTCAACATTATAATTACTATCATGTCAAAATAAAGATTAATAAAATTTCTTGTGATGTCACTTTGATAACATGAGCATTTACATTAACATGCCTCATTCATGATACCTAGTCAAGTTGTTGTCATATAAAAGTGTTCCTGTGCGCTCCCTGCATTATCTGCTTACACTATCATAACCATCATGGCTAACCCTGGTTTTAACATACGTTTCGTCTCGTAATAACCAACT